CCACAGAGATCTCCATTGCAATTGTCCTGTTAAGGTTTGAAATAATATTTAAAATATAAGTTGGTGCGCATGCTGTAATTTTGGATGGCTATTTTCGCTTGTATGGTTATTAAAATGAGACCCTTGTTTTGTTTTGTGTTGTGTGCCAGGTTCCCAAGATCCTCAGTTGCTTTTCTTAAAATCACAGTTAAACCTTTCCATGAACTTCAGCCTAGTTAACCAGTTAAAGAACTGGTAAGATAGGCTTTTCTCCTGTGCTATACATAGGATTTGTGTTTGTTCTGTGCTTCTGGTGCTTTCAAGGGTAGAAGTCATGCATGTGCCTCAGTATTCTGATGTCTTTCTATTTTGGCTTTAAGGGGAAGGAGACAAAATGTAGGCATGTCAACAAGTATGAAGCAGTAGTATAAATATAACTTTTTAAAACTATTGCTTAACTTGTCTTAGAAGTGTTGCAGCTTTGCAAAAAAAACAACAACTGATGACAAATACACTGTTGATTATCATCCATGATCATCTTAGTCTTAATATGTATGTTGAGCCCTGTCAAACTGATTTTTAGAAAGTTATTACTAAAACTAATAGTAAAGACCATATAGTGCACTTTTTAGTTGTTTATTCCATGTCAGTTTACTGATGCTAACGGGTACCCCTGAAGCATTTAGTAAAATTGAAGTGCTCTAAATGGGCACAGGAAGATGATGACTGAATTCAGAAACTGATACTGTTTATGGTGATCAACCAAATAAATTATACAAAAGTGTACAAATCCTCCAGTCTTATTATGTCTTCACAAAACAACTTTCCTGATGCAGGTGAAACAATTAAAATTTAGTAAATGGCCACAGACAAGGAATGAGCATTTAAAGGATCAAAGGCAAAGCTGGAAATTGAACCCTTGCTTGATTCCTACCCTGCCTGATCAGGAGTGTTTCCTTTTCTGCAGTTAATGGACTGATGAGAAGCTCTGTTTTCACACAGTTGTACAATAGGCTTCTGTGTAGATAGTTCACTACATTGTCAAGTCAAGGGTGTTTTCCACTTAGCAGAAAACCACAGGAAAATTGGTGGGTTTTTGCACAGAAATAATATGTCTTTCTAGAATGAAGTGGTTTTGATCAAGTACTGCACAATCCAAATAAGATTGTAGAATTGCTGCAAGATGAAATTCTGTAACTTTGTGTAGTTCAGGCTGTTATCTGTTTAGTTTATTCGAAAATTTGTGGGATTTCAGGTTTTTTCCTTTTGTTTTGTCCAAAGACCGGGAGCTGCAGCTATGTACAGAGGTTTTAAATATTGCCTATTATGGAAAAATATGAACTGTTCTAATTTTACTGAAAAAGAATACTTTTTTTTGTGACTACATTAAAATGTCATTTCAATTGGGTGGTAATAGACTGGATATAAACAGTTTATCCTCCACATTCAGCATTCATCCTTTCACTGTTTATTCTTCTATTTTTTCAAAATAGAAATGGTGTTTCCCTTTTCAAGCAATTTGCAGTTACCAAGAATATTGCTGATCAAAATAGAGCATAACATTCAGTGTTCCTTTGAGTGTCTTGACCTTCTGAACGTGGAATACCTTCTCAAGGAAGGGATATTTCCTCCTGTGAAACAAATAAGCTCATTTGAAGGTTAATGGTAGTCAGTTATTGCTGCTTTTTGGGTCTCCCCCATCCCTCTCCTCAGAAACTCCTGTTAACTTGCTTTCCAGTTGGCTTTGCTTTCTCAAGAGTTGTGCAGTAAAGAACTAAATGCATCAAGGATAAGAATGTTCTGTGGACCATCAAGCCTAGTTCAGGACTGAGAAGACAGCATGATTTAGAAGGAGATTAGTCTTCGTAACCTCATGAAGTTTTGATTCTACTTTCCTGTGGGATTCAAAATAAACTTGTACCATGTATGGATGGGATGACCTGGAATCTCTAGCATGGTTTATTGATGGCACAGCAAATCCAGTGTTTTGTCAATGCCATTTGTTTTGATGCTTTTTGACCTTTGTTTCTCATTCTCGTGCCTTAAAAACCCTGTTGGTTGTCATTTTGTAGAGTATGAATATATCTTGTGAATTGCTAAACTGTTGAGCTTAGTAACTTTATGAAATGGAATGCTATGTGTCTATCTAGAAACACATTTGTTGTCTTAGCTGCCTCTTTCAGATTTACTGCTTATTAACTGGGAAAGATGAAAATTTGAAAAGTTCTGTGAACTTTTCTTGGGACATCTTGGAAATTGTGTTTCCAAGCTGCAAAGTTACTAGAAGCTGCAGAGTTACTAGAACTGACTTTGCCTGCTAATGAGCCATCACATTCTGACCTGAAGTGATACATACAAGACAGTGAAAGCAGAGCATTTAAGTACTTTTCTGACTTTTGCTTTATTTTTTTTTATTTATATGAGTGACATGGGCTTTCTTCAGCAGCATGTCAAGCAAGAATTGCTGTACAGAAGCAGATCACTTGTTTTTGTTGGCGTTTTTGTCTTTTTCTTGTTTGTTTGTGTGTTTATTTTCCTAACCAGTATTGCTCTAAAAGGGTTCTGTAACCATTTAAAAAATAAAAGTAATTTAAGTAAGAATAAGTACAATACAATTTTAAATAATAATAAATTTAATAACATTTAATAAAATAGGCTGGTGGGGAGGAGCAGAGAAGTGAATATAGTTTTCAGAATCAGAGTTCTGCCTTCTCTTTTTGTCTCTCCCAAAGGAAGTGGACTCCTTACTTGTTCTTAAAGGGGATCAAGCCTGGTCATTTTCAATAATCAATCAGTTTACAGGAGTGTATAGTGCAGTGAAGTTGTGACACAGTTGCAAGCAGGGCAGTGTGATTTCCCTGCTGGGTGCCCATGGCCAGCACAGTGTGGCTGCACTTCAATCAGGACATCTCTGAAGGACAGAAGTGACAGAGAGCACAGCAGTTAATGCCTTATCTGCCTGCTGCTGCCCTGCTGTGTACATCAGCAGGGAAGAAATCTGTTGAAAGGGATGGGGAGCTGGGATAATGTTGATACTGATTGGATTAGACATTTTTCATGTCTGATCTTTAGTTAAGAAGCTGTTGAGTTCCTCTGCTGTTGATTGGACTTGATATTTCAGGATAGTTTTTCTTTTGTAGTAGCATTAATAATGCCTTCAGCCTGGAAATGTCTAGATGAAAATCCATCTATTCAGATTCCTCTAAACATGTTTTTGGGACAATATTTTAAAAAAATTGTACATGGACTTTTTACAGCTTCGATCTTTGACTGGATGTGGGGCTGGTTTTGTGAGGCAGTGTGCATAACTTGAGAAGGTCTCTGCCCCAAAGAATTTGTGACTTAGAGCCCTCTAACATGAAACTTCCCAAGTGTTCAAATGGTTTTATACAGTGCCACTTAAAACAGATGTGGCTATGGGGAACCAGTGATCTGCAGAGAAGAAAACAAGCCCTTGGTATTTTAGACTTTTCTTGTCTGTTTGCAATAACTAACCTGTCAGATTTTCCTGATACTATTCCTAGTATTTTTAAAGATGACGGAGAGAAGGACTTGGCAAGCCAGCAAAATTAAATAGGAGGGATACTTAGACATCATTTCTTAACAAGTAATTCTCCTCAAGCTGTATAAACTTTCTTGGGTTAAATATTGTAGAGAAAAAAGATACTCCATCTTCAGTGAAACATTAATGATAAAAGTTGGTCCTCTTTGCTGTCCAGGACCCTCACTTAAACCACCAGGTGATGTAAATTACATCAGCAAACTCTTCCTTCAAAAAGCAAAATAAAACAATCTCTTTCCTGGCTTGGGGGGGGGGGGAAGGCCATGGAGAATAATAATAAAAACTCTGAATTTTTATGCATGGTTTTGAGTTAATCTGAAGTTGAGTTGTTTATTCTGACTGAGGTCCTTGGCCTGCACATAAACGTGTTAGCTGTTGTCAAGGATGTGCAGAGGCATACACTCTCCAGTGAGAATGTAGTCAGAGCCAGAATTCACGAGACTGGCAACAGCATCTGACAGGGCTGCCAGCATTGCAGACCTGCAATTCAGACACTGTATAAACTGTCTTATTTTTTTAAATGTGCAGGAGAAATTGAATCTGAAAGACAATATCAAGAAATAACTCTTACACATTACATACAGTAACATGAATTTAAAACTGAAACTATTTATATGACAGGCTTGAACCATAGAAGATATAATATATGCTGCTCTATTTTATGTGTTGTTCCTTGAGTAGCAAGTGATGGGACCTGTGCTGACTGTGCATTGGAGGCAGCACGTCGGATGCAGTGGTTGCATGTGGAGCTGGGAGTCAGCAGGTGACTGCTGTGGAGCTCCAGCAGCTACTGCTTGAGTTAGAAAAATTGGGGAAGCTGGGAAACCTTTGTCCTTTTGCTCTCGCTGCCTCTTTCAGCTAACAGCAGTTTTCACAAACACCCCCAACCCATGCCATTGTCTGCCTTCAAACTCTGTGTTGAATTTCTCTTGCTGTGGTGCAGGAGAGAAGACAGGAGTTCTGAAACTCTTTCACGGTGTTTGCTGTTTGGGAGGGTGCTTGGTAGGAGCATTTCAGGGTGCTGTGTCTAGTGCTGCTGGCTTTCAGCCTGCTGCTAAAAGGCAGCAGAGCTTGCTTTCTGTGTGTTTTTACTTATTCAACTGGTTGAACCAAGCTTTTAAACCATGAACACTTAATTTGTTCTCATTTGTCTGTTGTTAGAGCAACAGGCAGAAGGTGTTGTTGAAGGTAGTGTTGAAAGGTCTTGATGTGAACTCCTAACTATGTGGAAGATGCTTCTCACATCCCCTAGATAAAGAATTGGGCCTGCTCTTCCATCTCTGTTTTACACCCCTGTCTGACATACGGAAGGAAGAGGTTTTTAGATACAGTGACACTTCTGTACTCCCTGCCCTGCTGGTCTGGGAGAAGAAATCCTCCTGAGCCACATCCATAGTCAGCTGTTGAACATCTGTAGGTGCCTACAGTGCTAACATGTTTTCATTTTTCCCTTCTGCAGCGTCTCCCTTTCTGCTGTTTGCCAACCGGCGGGATGTGCGGCTGGTGGATGCTGGAGGCACGAAGCTGGAGTCCACGGTGGTGGTCAGTGGTTTAGAGGATGCTGCTGCGGTCGACTTCCAGTACTCACAAGGCATCGTTTTCTGGACAGATGTGAGTGAAGAAGCCATCAAGCAAACTTACATTAACCAAACTGGGAATGTGGTGCAGAATGTCATCATTTCTGGTCTGGTTTCCCCGGACGGCCTGGCGTGTGATTGGATTGGGAAAAAACTTTACTGGACGGATTCAGAAACCAATAGGATAGAAGTAGCTAATCTCAATGGAACATCTAGAAAAGTCCTCTTCTGGCAAGATCTTGATCAGCCCAGGGCAATAGCTTTGGATCCGGCTCATGGGTAAATATTAATTTGACTTAAATGCTTAAATGAATACTGTGGTGATTTATGTTGAGTTTTTAGTTTTGAAAAGAAAAGGAACAACACATAGCCTTTTGTTTCACTTAACATTTTCTTGAGGTGTTCTTCTCAAGATCTGTAACTGAACATATGTTTGAGCTTAAATATTTTGTGGCAAGAAATGGCAACCCAGACCTTGAGCCAAAAAGAAAAATACAGCTGGTTCTTAGGTGCCAAGCCAAATATTCAACCAGTATAATTACCTGGCTTATCCTGTTGCACTTTGGAAAAATAATTAATTTTCCAAGCATTTTATTATTATTATTTTCTCAGTTATCTTGTTTAGTAAGTTAAATTTGATTTTATATGTGATGTCTATTTACAAGATGTGCAAGTCTGCATGTGATGAAACAGGAATTCTCACTTGCTATGCCCTGGTAAACAAAATCAGGATATTTTTTAAGTGATGATGTTGATTAATAATGTTTGTGCCAGCAAGGGAAAGAATCCAGGTGAAACTGGATTCTCAATGCTGTAAAGTGAACATGCTAAGAAGTGGTAAGAGTGCAGGCTGCATGTGTCAGTTCTAGTGCTCCTAAAAATACTTGTGTATGTGCATGATTCCTCCCTCTCTCTTCAGTCCTCTCCAGGGTTTCACATGTGCTGTTTGCTCTCCCAGTGCACAAGCAGTGCTGGTGTTGTGTCCTTTGGGCCTGGCATTTATGGCAGTGATGACTGAAGATGTGCTGTGCTAGATGGACCCTCATGAAAACCAGGAAAGAGAACTCAAGTGCATTTCTCTTGTATGCAGGGATCCACACAAATGGGCTGGTTTGCCTCTGATCTGCTGCCATTTTCACTATACTTTCTCAGAGATCACTTTATCTTCCTCTAGGGTATACATAGTAGGTTTCTTATCTGTAGGAAAATCTGGTGTTAACTGATATTTTCACAAAATTCACAGGATGACCAGGTTTGAAGAGACCTTTAAGGTCATCAACCCATGCCCTAACACCTCAACTAAACCATGGCATCGAGAGCCACATCCAGTCTTTTTTTAAACACATCCAGGGATGGTGACTCCACCACCTCCCCAGGCAGGCATTCCAGTAGTTTATCACTCTTTGTTTCAAAGGAAGTATATGTTGGATATTAGGAAAAAGTGAAAAACTTTTTCCTATTATCAGACCTAACTTTCCCTTGACACAGCCTGAGACTGTGTCCTCTGGTTCTGTCAGTTGCTGCTTGGAGAAAAAGACCAACACCAACCTGACTACAGCCACCTTTTAGGAGACTGAGTCTGTTCTCTTTGCAAAATGATGCTGAGCAAGGGCTTAGTATAAACCATAAAAATAAAGTATTTGGTGGTTTATCCTGCTCTGGGAGCTGGACAATGTCTTGAGAAACTACCTGCTTCAAGTGTGCGAGTAGTGAAGATGGAAACGAGGCAACAGAGGCCAATTTAAGATCACCATGTCAGCACCTTCCATGCCACAGACTGGAACTGTGGTTGTCTTTGCAGTGTTTCCTGCATAAGATTTTCCAGATGAATGTGAGGTGTTACAGGTACATTTATGATTAATACATAAAGGGCACACAAAGGCTAAATGAAACGGTGTGTACCCAAAGAAACAAAATCCTTAGTTTTGTTGACATGTCAAATGCTGGAGTGCCTGTATCCTTCAGATAATGGCTGGAAAGGTACAGCCATTACCAGTGGAAGGGGAACTGGAGTGACTTTGTTGGGCCAAAGGACTTTTCAAGAGGGGTCCTAATCCTCCTAACCCTGCCTTCCTTACAGATGCCTTTAGGTGAAAGGAATTCTCCCCACAGCAAATTATTCTGTAGAGGGGTTTTAAATAAATTAACAGGAATCCTGTTGTATCCTGACAGCAAGTATTCTATGCAGAATTAATTAATTAATGTTGATTAATTAGATGTAGAGTTCATTAGTATATTTAAAGAGAGAATATGATGTTAAATTGAGTATTTCATGGTGAGGTGGATTACAGAGTGTGGTATGGCACTTTGCATGAAATGCCAGTGCCAGGTTTACTTTTCCTAAGTGGATGCAGTTCCTTGCCTTTTGACTGATTCTTTAAGTGTTGAATCAAAGACAGGTTTGCCTGAAAAACTAATATATTAAACTTGAAAGAAAATTTTAAAAATCAGACATCACATATATTTGTGGAATAAAACATTCAGGTTTGCTTTTACAATCACTTCATTTCAGCTGGTAGTTCTGAAATATTTCCTAGGTGCATCTGTGAAATGGTGATTTTGGCACAGCAGGCTCTGGGGTTGAGCTCACACAGAACCATGTGTTCCTTGTTCCAGGTATTCTCAGGGGAAGAAGAGTGGGTGACAGTAGGAGAAAAGAACCATTTAGTAATACCTTTTTGTCTTTTTTTAATAAGCTTTTGAAATCAGGTGGCTAATACTGTTCCTACAACTGTCAGAACAGTATTAGATCAGAGCACCTGAGTAAGTTTGTGGGGTTTTTTCCTGGATCATGAAATGTGAAGCAGTTCAGACTAGGATTCTTAAAACTGGTTGTGGCTAGTCATTTGCTTTCAGTTTGGAAGAATTTCTATTCCACAGAGGTAATTTTGTCCCTTTAGAAGTTTCTACTAAAAAATTGAGGGTGGGAAGCTTAGAAAATGAGGAAGAAAATTTCATTAGTCTACTTTGGTTTCCAGAAGCAAAATGAGACAAATAAGCAGATTGCAAATGCTTAGTTGATACTATTAGTACCCAAACATGGGTTTGTCTAGAATGCTGCAAGTCAAACAAATCTAATCTCTCTTGAGACAATAACATGTTGTCATGCAGAATGGTGACACCTTCTCTTGTCTTTTAGCCTTAGTAAGGCTGTTCTGCAGAGGCGGATTAAGGACTGTGTGTTGGGGTGTTTACAGTGGGGTGTTATGCCCAGAGTGGTGTTTGCTTAATAAGCAGATTTTATTCCATTTTGAGCATGATTCTTCAAGACCTAGACTAGTTTGAGAGAATAGAGAAGAACATACTGAATATACAGTCATCATCTCTCAGGAACACCAGAAGTGTAATGGCCAAGCCTTAGGAGATGGGAGAGGGGCTAAGTTGACTTCTGGAGTTTCCTTTTGAAGCCTGATTTTCTGTGATTTCCAATTGACATTCATTGATTTTTCAGATGTTCTGATGGGCTTCCTAAGTAGTATGTCAGATGGTTGTGGTGTAGTGACATTTTTAAAGAGAACTGCATCTTTTGCACACTCAGCCTGTCTTCCTTCTTTAAAGGCAGTGATTATCTCACGGTTATGAAAGAGAGATTCCTCTCCCCTAATGATCATTCAGTGCATTCCTAAAATTTCATTTTTTAAGGCAAGCTGTGGGACACTTAAAGCTTATGTGTGGGTCTGTCTTCTTCCCAGAGCTAGTGAAAATTATTCATTGTACCAGGTCTTCTGACACTCTGAAAGAGTATCATAATTAACAAGAGTTGGCTTAATATGTAACATCATTCTTTTCCATACACAATAAAACTTTCTTGCTGAACCCACTGTATATTCTTGGAATTAGAGGAAGCAGAATATGTGATAATCCAATTATTCTTCCCTGACATGAAGGATAAACTAAGAAAACAGAGGACAGTACGACACATTTTTCTATAAATTTGCTGGTGCTTTGTTTTGAACATTTAGATCCCAGTCATGCTGTAGGCTTTGTTAAGCTAAGTTTATATAATGGAGGACTTTAGGCTAAATTCTTGGTATTGTTTGTAGAACATTAGCATTTATGTACATTGTTGATAGGTAGACTGCCGATGGGGGATTCAGTAGTGTTGGTATTATTAATTTTGAGTTTGGCACCATTGCCTAAGTCTTTATATGTTTTCAGGATAGCAACTTCTAACAAATCTGAACTTAGTGAACATAAAGATTTTACTCAAGCCCAGCTGAAAGAGCTAGCTCAAATTCCCTGCGATGCCATGCAAAAAACTTAAAGTGTCATGAACACTGTCTGAAGAAGGAGGAATGTATTTAAAAAACAAGTTTTTATCATGTGTTGTGGCAAGCAAACTTCAGTTTCCTGAAATCTTCAAAAGAATGCATGAATGAGTAGCCAAAACAAATGATTTAATTCTCAGTCCTGTAGTGAAGGTCTTAGATCTGAACACCCTAGAATGTGTGTTGATAAGGGTCATTGAATCTATGGCATAAAAATCTCAATTCTTGCTACCCTCTCCATTTTACACAGGGCTCTGATTCTGAAGATCTGTAGCATATCCATAATCCTCATACCTAATATTCACTAAATGCTTAATGAAGTAGTTAGTTCACATTATGAAAGTCTTCAATGTGTTAGAGATACTTACTTTGGTATATATAAATCTTGAATTTGTTCCTACATCACCTACTGTGATGGCTGCTGTATTGCCTTCTGGAGTGAGCTTATTGCCCAAGTCCAGGCTGTATTTTCTATAGCTTGCCTTGCTCAGCAGACGGTAATGCTTGAGAAATTTCTGCCCCCTCTGTTTGCTGAAAGCACAAAGAGGTAAATGAGACATCTGTGAAATGTTTGTGAAATCGTTATTTTAAGGAAAGATGAAAATTGCTTGCCTCAAGAAAAGGTGTGCTGTCTTGTGGGTTTTTTGGTGTGGGCATAACCACAGTCATTGCTTGGTGTAGTCACTGGGGTTGTTCAATTTGCCATACCTGAGCTGGCCTGCTGACTCTGGTGGGATCTGTAGGAATGGTGTTTGTGAAAGAGGAGAGTAAGGACCTTTGACTGGTTTGACTGAAGAAAAACTGCAAACTGCTGTCTACATTTCCTCCCTCATTTTAATTCTTAAAAACTCTTCCATGGCATAGTGTGGGGCTGTTGGGCCGAGGGAGTGCTGGTGTCAGTGGACCACCCCAGAAGCTGACTTCATTTATGGAGCAATCTTCTTTTGAAATAGCAAAGCTTCGGGGGAAGGAAGTAAGATACAATTTGGAATGCAGCAATAAGAAAAAAAT